AGCTGGTAAGATTAACTACTAGGAATGACAATGAGACTAAATGAGGCATATATATCTTTACACGGATGTAGGGTGAACTGAGACGAGATGAGGCGAGACGAGGCAATGCGAGGTGAGTTGAAACTTACTTAAAAGCATAATATTTAGTGCGGTTGAGACGAATTCACTAGAATTATATATGCAATTCTAAATTTTCTGGTGTAAAATATATATATATATATTTGAGTTATAGAAGCATGACAAAAAAACTATTTCCTTTGCCTAGTGGAACATAAGTTCTTTAGAATCTAAAATCATGTCCAAAAATAACTTATGGGATATTATACTACGAAAATGAAACTTAAGCTCTGCAAAAATATTATTTGTTATGAGGGACATAAATTAATAGACTAACACAAAATCGGAACAAAAATTCAAATGACCCACAAAGTTTCGCATTGGGGAAAAAAAGACTCCCTACAAAGACAATTATGTATCCAATAGAGTTCGAACATAAAATTTCTAATTAAAAATGAGGAAGTGATCATCACTTTGTCGCACCCTTTGTCGGTAATTCAATCATTATTTGTTTAATTGTTTCTTTGAATTTTAATGATATATTTTCTCTGTTTAGTCATTTTTTTAAAAAAATAATAATACTTTTTTAAAAACCAATAACAATTTAAATTTAATTCTCAGTTTTACCTTTCTTTAATAAGTTGATAGATAGTAACACAAACATTTATAACTTATTTTGGATCATAAATTTTAAAATTTGTTCTTTCTTTTTTAAATTTAATATCCCATGAAACTAACCTAAACTGAGATGGATGAAGTACTAATTAATTTTCGATCTTCATAAAAGGAAAAACTTTATCTTCTAAGAGTATCTAATTTGTTTTCTATCTTCATAAAAGGAAATACTTTATCTTTTAAGAGTATCTAATTTGTTTTCTATCTACAAAAATGGAAATTTTTTATCTTTTAAAAGTATTTGTATTTAGTCCAACAACATAACTTTTACACATCATTGAAGTTCTTTCATCTTGTGTGAAAGTCAACATCAACACTGTCATAATAGCGATGTAAGTACTTTTTTAATTCAACTTCTTCATTTTTCCAATTAAATGTTATACCATTATTTTTTAATCTATATTTTTCTGTTCTAATAAGGCAAAGTTAGCTAATTTGACAAACATAAAATTAAGAAAGTAAGATTAACTAGTAGAAATCTGCCTTTATGCGGGTGAGGGGTGGAGGTGAGGCGAGACAAGGCGAGGCAAGATGATTTGAAATATACTAAAAAGCATTTAGTGCGGTTGATGTGGATTCAGTAGAATTAGATCTGAAATTTTATTTCGTTGAAATCAATAGATAACTGTTTGAGTTACAGAAGTGTAACAAAAATATTAAAGCGGAGGAAATACTCACTAGTTTTCTATCTACATAAAAGGAAAAAACTTTACTATCTTTTATGAGTATATGTGCTAAAGCAAGTAAGATTTATTATTAGGAATGACAATGGGACGGAATGAGGCGTGTTTGTTTTTACACAAATGTAGGATGGAGTGCGGCGAGGCAAGTTGAAACTTATTAAAAAATATTTAGTGTGATCGAAATGAATTCACTAGATTTATATGAAATTCTAATTTTTTTTCAGGTGTAAAATCAATATATAACGATTTGAGTTATAGATGCATGATAAAATATTATTTCCTTTGCCTAGTGGAACATAAGTTCCAATTATTGTTCCTACTTGATCAAGTAGTAATTAGTAGAATTTTAAATAATAAGTTTACTTCATTAAATTCATATGTTCTATTTATGTAGATGTAGATGTAGATGTAGTTGTGTTCCTAGAAATTGTCAATGGCTAATTGTCTCACTCTTAATTATGCCTACCTAATCAAAAAGTTAAATCATATAGAAATTGAAAGTGTATACTTTTAGATGGTTGGTTAGTTGTTACGTTGGTCAAATTTAATTATAGACTTCACCCTAACAAAAAAATAAAAATAAATAAATATATATATATATATATATATATATATATTGATTATTTTATAATTAAAATTATTCAAAGGCATTAAATGATAATTATCTCTGTCCATTTTTTAAATAAAGAGTCAGTTTGGATAGACTTATAAGTTAAATATATAAATTAAGAATTCTATCTTATGACTTTTGACTTATTTTTTCTTTTTTGTAAATTTAAAATCAAATGTTCAAAAATAATTTTTATTTTCCCAAACACAATAATTGTATTTAAAAATGCTAAAATAAGACAATTAAAACAGGCTCAAAGTAGCTTTTGTCGATTGACTTTTTCTCTGAACATGTTTTTAAAAGTTAATTAAGTAAATAGTTGAGATAACGGTTCAAATCGATCAATAGGTCCAATTAATTAATACTCCCTCTCTCCCTAATTACTTGTTCACTTTTGAATTGACACATCAATTAAGAAAACAATTATTGATATAGTAATTTATCATTTTACCCCTATTAATTATGAAGTGGATGAATTAAAAACTTGAGATTTTAAAAAAGTTATACCTTTTTCAAAGTAATTAATTGAGAGTATAATAGGTAAAAAGAAAATTGTTCTTTCTTGATTTGCCAAAATAGACAAATAATTAGGGACAACTATAAAAGAAAAAGTTGACAAGTAATGAAGGACGGAGAGTATTGTATCTACTTTATCAATTTGTAAGAGGAAATTACATATATTTAGATTATTTACCTTCTTTAAATTCATATCATAGTAGAATCATTAGTGACGGCTTGTCTTCACTTTACGTCTTCTGTCCATAATTGATTTGACGCACTCTTTAAAAAAAATTATTTGTTATTTTATTTTTAATTATGATAAATTATTTTACTAATTGAAAAATGAATTTTAAATAATAAATTATCTCTCGATTTTAAAATTTGAACCGATAAAAATAATCATCTAAACAAGTAAAGATACAAGACGAAATACATCTCAAAGAGCTGATTTTAACTTTTTTGGTTGACAAAAGCTATCTTTTCCTTTTCTTTCTTATTTTATAATTCCAAACATAGCCAAATAGTCAAATTTATAAAGTTGTAGTAAGAGTTGGTGAACAAACAAGTCCATGCTATTTCCTTTTTAGCATCTTGATTTATGTCAATGACATTGTTCTTTGATGAAAATCGATACGAAGTCGAAATGTTCACGTTGAAGTGTGTGACTATTATTCAAATACATAAGAGTTACAGTTTATAATGTGATTTTGCGAATTGAAGGGACATAACAAAGATAATAGCTATAGAATTGTTGGTTACCCTTTAGATTTCAAGAGTATAGAATGATGTTTAGTTCATTTGAGAATAGCGCTATAGCAGTATATATGCATAGATAAACTGGAAACATACAACCATCACCTACTTCGAATGATCAAGCCAAACTTTTCTCTTGCATAGTGTCTTGGCTTGTTCTTAGTTTAAAACAATAATATAAACAACAATAAATTATTAATGGCCGAATAATTTATTTAAATTTCAACAAATTTTATTCCCGGCCAAAATATGATCAACTTTTTCAACTTAGGGCTCCTTCCCACCGTGAAATCATGTCAACACCTTCTCCCAAGGGCAATAACTTAGTTTCTACGGCTTAAGCAATAATGCACAAGGTTGGAGAGTCAAACTTTTGCCTTTATCGATGAATTCAATGGGAAAACTAATGCAAACTGTCCAAAATCACCCCTCCCAAGTATAAGAACTCAATGTACAGAAAATAGGTGTTTTGGGTTATTTTCTGCATAAAATTCTGATTCAGCTCAAAATAGCAGTCCAACCCGTGATAGCGACAACTAGTCTCGCTATAGCGACCTCCACATTTCGCTATAGCGAGACACCTTTTGCCACCTAAACTCCAGAAAAATGTCATTTGTACAATACAAACTCTCCCTTCATGTCAAGTTCAATTTCAGGAGTTCTACTTACCCGAATTCAATTCTGAAGGCATTATAGACTCCTAAATGTCTTGGCTACAAGAATATATCAACCAAAACTCAAACCATATCTATTTCTGGATGGCCCTAGACCTCACCTATCCCAGATTTCGTCCGAGGCTGGTCTTGTCAACAAAATTTAAGTCACGACTCATAAAATTTTATGGCCCAAATTTTTTTCCTATCAACCAACTCATAACGACCAGGTCAAGCCGTTACAATATCTAAGTTAAGCTTATATGTATTTATGGAGAAAGATTTCTTATGCTCGAAACAAATGAGAAGAAATTTGAAACTTTTGGATCAATCATACGATAGATACTTATACGCGTGATTTGCTCCTAATTGTTGTTTCATTTACATATATTCCATATTTAGATATAGTAAGATGTATATGCTTAGTATGTATCCGATATAAATGTATTCGAATGCTCCATGCATATATCTGTGGATTGAAATATGGCAGGAATTATAATATCGAAAACTCACAGGAAAAACAAATAATTAACCCCTAAACTAGTAAAATTTGTGTTGTTTACCTTTTATTAAAAGAAAGATGAGTTCAAGTTTTAAAATGTGGGTTTGACCCATTTTATCAAGTGAAACATCTTTTCACTTACAAAATTTCAATTGTTTTCAAGTTATAGGCATTCAAACACAACCAATTGTCAAATTTCATTTTTTAAATATTACATTTTCTATGTCGAATTTGTCTGGACCCATAAAAATTAAAGTAGGCCATCTTAATTAATGCATCACCATTGACTTTCAACATGCATCAAACGTTTAATTTTCATCAGAAACATATAACTCAAGAAATAACAATTTTTCTTCATATATTTACAAAAAAGGAAACCATTGAAAGGGCTACAAATTTTGAGAACCCCTAATAACCTATATGTGATTAACTAGTACTATAACATTAACAAAAGTTCAAATGAAATTTGTATAAATCAAAGTACTAACCTTCTTCTTTTAAGACAACTAGAATAGTTAAAAAGAAAAATTGATGAGAATACAAAAGTTAAAATTTTTCATCATGAGCTATATAAACTTCACACCTTCTAAATTTTTCTCTTGTAGATCAGACTCACTTCTACGATTAAATGATCTTTCTCGAATGGTATCCAAAAGTGGTTCCCACTTTGGTGACTTTGTCGACATTCGTTGTCCCATACCATAGGTTATAAGTCGTCCTTTCTCTGGATCAACCCATTTACCCTCATCTGAAAACCTATTAGGGCTACTAGTCGGTGAGTTCCATACTCGTTGGCTAGTAGTACCATTCGATGACTTTTTCTTCCTTGGCTTGTCCTTATTATAGGCCATGGGTTTTTTGGCTATGCCACTAAGTCTTTTAGCAATTGGAGCCAAATCAATAGGAGATACACAAGATTGAAAAGTTGAATGAGGTAACAAGAAGTAAATATTGCCTTGTTGCAACATGTAATCAAGATTGAGAGGTTGTAAACAAGTGGATAAAAGTTGGGATTGAGTGAAAATAAAATGCTTTTTGGTTTTTCCCATGACTTCACTAACACTAATAGGATGATCAAAATCTTCTACATAGCCATTCAAATGCACCACTCTAATTATCTTGAGTTTATCTGAGTGCCCTATATTGAAAGAGAAACAACAATACATTTTTTTCATTATTCCTCTTGGTTTTGAGATAGATGATAATTGGCCAATTATATATATGTTGGACTTTGAAAATATTGGGTTTATCTATTAAATCCAAATCAGCCTAGTAGACTAGTTGCCCAATTGGATAATAAAAATATACACCCACATGTACCTACTTTTGAATCTGTCATAACCGTGGGAATTGGGGGACTCAAAGAAAGCATGAATAACACACTACATCAAATAAAAAATTTATATTAATATCGCTACCTAATTTTGGATGAAATGACATTAACGATATACCGCTAAATATTTTTGAACTAATAAATGCATATTATCGTTAAGAAGAAAATATATTGTCACTAGCTAAATATCTCTCATATTTTAGTAGTATATATAATACGGTCATAATTACTTCTTAAAAGAGTTTCTCATTCAATGTTCAGTATTTATATTGGATATTGACAAAAATTGGATTTGTACCAGCAACAAGAAGTCATAAAATTGCACATTTTGCCTTTTAAATGAGTTAGTTTTTTTATTTTTTTATCCTTCAAATTGGGTGATGTTTAGTTTTTGTTCTTTTCTAATCGAACTTATGCCTAGTGATACATAAGTTCTTTAAAACTAAAATTTAGTCTGAGAATAACTTATGAAATATTACGATATAAGGATAAAAGTTCAAATGACCCACAAGAAATCTCGCATTGGGGAAAAACTTTTTTTGTATCCAACAAAGTTCGAACCTAAAATCTCTAATTAAAATGAGGGAAGGAAATACTTACCACTTTGTCCTATCACTTGTTGGTAATTTGATTATTATTTGTTTGATTATTTCTTTGAATGTTTTGATGATATACTAATTAATTTTCTATTAACATAATTTATCTATTAGGAGTATATGTAGTGTATGTAGTCCAACAATGTAGCTTTCATACACCATTAAAGTCTTTTTGTCTTGTGTGAAAGTCTAACGCCGCCCCATCCTAATTGCCATCCCAATTAATTATAATCATAATAACACTAATTTTTTCTTTTCTATAATTATCGTGTTAAGTTTTCGAGTTTGACCTAGGCCTAATTGCAACATAAGCCAAATAATAGATTATATGAATTGAGTATTTATATCAAATTGTGTATAATATACTATACATAGTAATTTAGAATGTGTTTGATATGGTGGAAATTCAAACATTTTTCTTTCTTTTCATATTTAAATTAGTCAAAGCTCTAAAAAAGTATTTCTCTAAAAGAAAAAATGACTTCTTTGACGAAGCATGAAAAACACATTATACAAATAACATTGTTGTCTAATTTGTATTACGAAAATACTTAGAACATCAACTTTGGAGAATTTCGTAAGAGATAACAAAGTTTAAAAAATATTTTTTGTCACGATCCAGATCGTCGGGGGTGACATCCACACTAAATAACCTGGTGGGAGAACAAACAACTAACCCAAATTAAACCCAAAATACCATTTATTTAAGGAAAAATTACATAAATACACAACTTATTTTAATATATTCTCTAAAATTGCTACCATTTGAAAAAATTACAAAAATCCCTACTTTACGCGATGTATCGATCGTATACATCACTTTACAATGTATCAGGTAGTACACGATGTATTGGGACGTTACTTTATGCGATGTATCGATCGGATACCTCACTTTACACGATGTATCGGAACGTTAAGTGATGTATCCAAAATCGAGACATAATGTATCAAGAAGTTAAGGGATGTATCCGAAACTAGGACGCGATGTATTGAGACGTTTTATGAGATGTATCCGAATTCCATCAAATTTAAGGAATTTTTGTTATTTGAAAAAACATATATATGGTGTAATTAGCTCTTAACACTATGGGATTTATGTAAAATCTACTTTATTTAAAGCAAGCTTATCATATAAATAGAAAACACAGTTTTTCAAACAACTAAGGATTTAGTCCCCATAAACTCAATCAATAATCTAAAACAATTTAGTAATTAAAAAATTGAGCCCCTATAAACTCAATCCAATAATCAGAAATATTTGTACGGAAATATACCCCTAAAAATTGAAAGTCGTGGTACCAAAACTTTAATGTCCAAAATAGAGGGGATGCAACCCCAAAGCTAAAAACAATAACAATAATCTAAGAATGTCCTTTAGATTTGAAATTAAGCGTTCCTTAACTGAGGTCTTGGATCAGCAGCTGAAAAATGCCTTGTACTCAACAAGGAAAGAACAGGTGCAGTATCAGTACACAAATCACAGTATATTGGTAGGATCATACGATCAGACCAAGATATGAATGTAAATAATTTACCACAAAACAGTAACACAGAACAACATTTAACAATTATCAATTCGTATAGACTTCCAGTCACATATCATGTAGCAACAAATATCAGGATGCATGTCCCATATGATCACAAATGCAAATACTCGATCCGCTCATGGAATCATGAACACATATTTGATCCTCTCATGAAATTCAAACTCAATTTGTTAGTGTACCGACGTGGTACCTGAGTCATTCGTAGTTAGTGTATCAGCGTGGTACCCGATTCAACTGTTAGTATATACCATGTGTGATATTCTAGCCAACCGTGAAAATATCATGTACCAAGCGTGGTATCCGAGGCAACCAGCATACACTAACATTCATGCACAATCACAAACATCATGAACAATAACGCTTGAAATCATAAGCCACATAACCAGTTCATTGCATGAGATTATCAACATGATGGCATTTTATATGTCACCCTATGTTTTCCACTAACATGCATTGTACAATGATACTATAAAGCAACAGACATACATATATACATATTAATATAAACAAAAATAACAATCAAACCACAATGGCCTATTAATACCCGGGTTATAATCAAATCCTAACCCCAAGTTAATTAATGATCATCTTCCCCAACTTAAAGCTTTTCCCACCATGAAATCATGTCAAACCCTCCCCCAAGATTAATATCTTAGGTTCTAACTTCTAAGGCTTAAGAACCAATGTACAAGTTTGGGGAGTAATAATCTTATCTTTACCAACTAGTTATGTGGGAAATACATTTTCGTCATTGTATTAGATATTTTCATTTGATATTCGATATTTGTATTGGGTATGGCAATTTGGATCTGCACCAGCAACAAAAAGTCATAAAATTGCACGTTTTGCCTTTTAAATGAGTTTTAAAAAAAAACTATTTGTCCTTTAAATTTGGTGATATTTAATCTTTGTCCTTTACTAGTTGAACGTATGCTTAGTGGAACATGTCTTTATTTTTTTTAAAATATGCTTAGTGGAACATGAGTTTTATGCCTTAGAATAACTTATGTGATATTATGATATGAAAATATAAGCTTATGCTCCGCAAAAAAATTATTTATTATGAGGGCAATAAATTAAAGATTAACACAAAATAGAAAAAAAAAAGTTCGAATGACCCATAAGAAGTCTCACATTGGGGAAAAAGGGCTCCCTCAGAAAGGCAATTTCCTTTCCAATAGAGTCTGAACCTAAAATTTCTAGTTAAAAATGAGAGAGTACTTACCACTTTGTGGCAACCCTTGTCCGTAATTTGATCATTATTTGTTTTTAATTATTTCTTCCAATGTTTTGATGATATACTCCCTTTGTCTCAATTTATATGACATATTTTTATATTTAGTTCTAACAATTTAAATTTAAAATTCTCATTTTACCCTTAATGAGATAATTTATAGTCACACAAATATCTATAACTAATTTTAGATCATAAATATTAAAAAATATTCTTTTTTAAATAAAATTTAGGGGAAAGGCTCAAATATGCCATCGAACTTTGAGAAAAGAATCTTATGTGCCGTTCGTTAAAAGTTTGACTCGTCTATGCCATTTTTGTTTGAGAAAAGGCGTATCCATGTCATTATTTGTTAATAGAAAACACTTTTGATTTTGCAAAATCATTTTTTACCCATGGTCAATTATTATTCAGCCACATCATTAATTAAATTATGTTTTAAAAGGAAAAAAACTCAAATATGTCTTCGAACTTTGAGAAAAGATTTATCTATGTCATATGTTAAAAGTTTGATTTATCTATGCCATTTCAGTTAACAAATAATGGCATAAATATGTTTTTTCTCAAACGAAAATAACATAGATGAGCCAAACTTTTAACGAATAACATAAAGGTGTCTTTTCTCAAAGTTTAATGATATATTTGAGTCTTTTACTTAAAATTTAATAACTAATCAAACTATATCATATAATTAAGGCGGAGGAAATACTCATTAGTTTTCTACCTCCATAAAAGGAAAAAACTTTACAATCTTTTAGGAAATTCAACTTGTTCGTTTTTCCAATCATAAAAGAATAGTTTTCTATCATACTAATTCTTGCACCTTCATAATAATAATGATGTTTTCCTTTTCGTTTTAATTTATGTGGTATCAAGAGTCAAATCCTGAAGTATTGACCATAAATTCAAACATAGAATCTTTAAGGTTTCTAAAATGAAATTTTCATATTGAAAACCGAGTAAAGAGTATTATTATTAACAACTCAAATATTTAAAAGACATGAAAAAATCATGATCAAAGAAAACTCATATAACTTTTGAAATCCGAACGAAGCCACCTAAATGGGCTCCTATGATTGTACAGTTTAACCTATTTATAACAATGTCATTTGTCCGAATATGTTTAGACTATTATAGCAAAATATTCTTGTAAGAAATATAATATAACATAATTTGAAAAGTCAGCTCCAAAAGAACTTAATCGCTATAATGAAATATTATCAGAGGATATACAGAGAAATATGAAAATGAAATGAGAAAATTTAAGAAATAGGCATAAAAGGCTATAACCAAATGAAATCATAGGTCAAGTGTAGATGTGGAACTTTAAAGCCAAATGAAGAAATATATAATCGTCCCCACCTTAGTGAGTTTCGCGAAACATAGTCGATCTCAAACCCAGATAAAGAACGAGGGTTACAATAGGTTGACAATATAGCGAGAATCTTGATGAATA